GTGCTGAGATTCTTCATGGGTAGTGTGGGGCCAGGTCTTAGTTTCTGTCTCCTCGAGTGATCAGGTTGAGTGTGCTTGTGTGCTTCACTTGCAGAATAGGCACATGGTGACTTGTTTGTGTGTGGTCTTCTCAGAGAGGACAGAAAACAACTGAACCTGCTAGAAGTGGTTTTGAGAATCCTTGGACACCAGTTAATACATATTGGACTGCAAAATTCTCCACGGAGGCTGTGTGACAGTACTACTGCCATCTGACAAACCCTCGCACATCGCCAAAGTCCTGCTGGTTTGGTCTATCAGCTCCCTGACCTCCACTTGCTTTTCACTGTGCTTCTTGGAGGAGTGATCCACCATGCTCCAGGGCTGAAACCTGCATAAGCAGTGTGTCTTGTAGGGAGTGGCACGACCGCCCCACTGCTGTCTCCACCTCTCCCTCATATTGACACATGATACGCCTACATTAACCATAATCCTCTCCTGCTCACGTCACATACATGGACATGACAATGACCCATCAGAGATCACCCCATAGCCTCTACCTGTTCCACTGGTCTGCCCTTGCCCTATAAAAGCTGTGACCACTTCCTCAATAAATGAGGCTTGATCAGATTCTCTCGACTTGTCTCTGTCTCTCTGTCTCTGGCCCTATCTGCGTTAATCCCTGTTCCTTCTCCAGGAAACTGCCCAACAGATCCAGATTGACCCGCGGGCCAGGTCAAGTGGCGCCCAATGTGGGGCTCCTAGCACGAAGGGCTCAACGAGGGAGCCATCCTGAGACATGCACGTAAAGTGAAACTAAAAGTTTTGCGACCAACGCTATGCGGGAGCCTGCCGCACCACTCGAGTCACGGTAAGTGGATGGCGATCCTTTCCCCTTTTTTCCAGCATGGGTCAGGCACTAAGTAATTTGTGTCAGGTTTAAGTAAAGCTTTTAAGACAAGAGGGACAAAGGCTAAAGAAAAAGATTTATTGCAGTATTTTCAATTTATTCATAAGGTTTGCCCTTGGTTTCCTTTAGAGGGGTCTATTGATGCAAAAAGATGGGAAATAGTAGGAGATGCATTAAAGGATTACTCTCGGGTCTTTGGACCTGCAAAGGTCCCAGTTACAGCCTTTGCCTACTGGAACCTAATCTCGGAGCTACTTACACAGTGCTACTGAGACCCTCAATTTGATAAAACAATCACCCCAGGTGAAGCTGCCTTTTACATGCTTCTGCTTTGCCAACATCACTCCCTTCAGGAGATGAATCTAAACCTTCTTGCCCCTCCAGTGAGTCAAATGATATGTTAAAAAAGCCTCAAGATGGCGGCCTGCCACCATCTGAGCCCCTACCACCCGAGGCCTGCCACAACTCTCTATCTAAAATGGTGCTTGCCTCACTTCTGCTACATCAGGGTGGCCCCCTCCCCAAAATGGTGTTTCTGGTGATGGAAACAAACATACCTCCCCAAGATGGCACCGCACAGCCACAAGACAGTGTGGGCGCTGTGCCACTAGCTCCACAAGTCATTAGGACCTATACTCCATTCACAGTGGCAGCTTTAAAAGAATTAAAGACAGCAGTTGCCCAATATGGCCTTACAGCTGCTTTCACGCTTGCTGTTTTAAATTCTCTGGCTGATGGCTGGCTCACACCTACAGATTGACAAAGATTGGCCTGAGTGACTTTGTTGGGTGGGGATAATCTTTTGTAAAAATCAGAATATACAAAAAATTTCAAAGAGACCGCCAGGTGCAATATGCAAGCTGCCAATTGATGGGACCTTAATATGTTAATAGTGGAAGATGCCTATGCATGCAGAGAAGCTCAAAAGGAGTTTAATTCAGCACTTTTAACTCAAATTCAAACAGCAGCTACTCAAGCATGGAGAAAGCTGCCTGCAAAAGATCACATGAGCTCCTCTCTCACTAGCATTAAGCAAGGCCCAGATGAACCCTTTTCAGAATTTGTTGATCATTTGATTACTGCTGCTAACAGAATATTTGGCCACGCTAATGTAGGCACTGATTTTATTAAATAGCTAGCTTTTAAAAATGCCAACACCACCTGCCAGGCCACTATCAGACCTCATAAAAATAGAACAGACCTAACAGGACATTATACAGCTTTGCTGTGACACTGGAACTGCTTGTCAGCAAGGCCTTACTATGACTGCTGCCTTGCAAGGGTTTACAGTTAAAGAGTTCTTATCTCAAAAGCATAAACAAAACTGTTTTACCTGTAGAGAGACTGGTCATTTTACAAAAAAGACTCCAGAGATAGAGATTCCAATGTCAATTACTTTGACTCATTTAACTGATCAGCATGATATTGGTCTTGTCTCTTGAGTTTAATTTCAGCATATGTAAGGATGGGGACAGCTGCTGAGAAAAAAATGAGAGATACCACGTTGGCTGTTATTGTCTTTCCCAATGTCAGATCTTCAAAACCCGAGGAGCCTTCATCATCCTGTGGTGGCTTTATTAGTTCTATAATATGCAGTGTGTATTTAATGTGCATAAAGAGGGGGACACCCAAAAATATTCTATCTCATGTCTTATTCATCCTTAATTTTTAAAATTTGGATGCTTCTGGGCAGTCAGCAGCCATGTGTTTTTGGCATACTGAAACACAAAAGCAATTTGCTTCTGTACTATGGAGAGACCCCCTCACTAATTCATGGCATTGCCCTGACCCCATTCTCATATGGGGATGTGGTTCAGTGTGCATATATTCCCTCCAAGACAAAGAGGCTGGATGGCTTCCCAAATACTTCATTAGGCAAATTAATAAGCCAAATAATAATAACCCCCAAAAGGCCCAGGAGTAAACATATACTCTGAAGCAACTTCTTGTGCTTCCTTATAGAAAATGCCAAACCGATGGATTATGTGGTGCCTTCTTGAGAACCTCCTTGGACCACCCTTGACCAATGGTGGATTTGGACCTCCCATCACAAATGGCCTCTAACCCCTTCTCCATGCTCTGGGGAGTGCTCTTCCCCTACCTAGCGTCCCTCCTGGGCCCCCTAGCTGCCTTGTTGCTTCTCCTCTCTGTGGGTCCTTGTATTTTTTCAGAGGATTATGGTGCTCATTAATAACCAGATAGACGTGTTTATGACAAAGCCCATTCAGGTACACTATCACCAGCTGGAGATGGCAAATTAACAAACCTACCGGGAAAGAATTCCCACGAGTGGCCCATATGACGATGTGGTCTAACCACCCTGAGGCAATGGACAGGCAGCCAGAGATGGGAAACTAGGACATACGTGCCACAACACTGGCCACCTAAGACAGGCACAGGACCAACTGCTGTGCTGCAAGCCCATGACGGGTAAGGCCTGGTTGGGTTCATGTAATGAGGTCCTTGACCTAAGACAGGCGCTGTCCTCACAGGGCCTTCCTTACTCCTGAATAAAAAATATAGAAAGGGAGGAGATGTAGGGAATGGCATGACCCCCCCCCCCCACTGCTGTCTCCTTGCCTCTCACTCCTATGGGCACGTAATGCATCTGCCTACATTAACCATAATCCTCTCCTGCTCACGTCACATACATGGACATGACAATGACCCATCAGAGATCACCCCTCAGCCTCTTCCTGTCCCATTGGCCTGCCCTTGCCCTATAAATGCTGGACCACTTCCTCAGTAAACGAGACTTGATTGGATTCTCTCAACTTGTGTCTGTCTCTCTGTCTCCGGCCCTGTCTGTGTTAATCCCCGTTCCTTCTCCAGGAAGCTGCCCCACGGATCTGGATTGACCCACAGGCCAGGACAGTGTCTGGTTCCATGGAACATTCCAGGAACCTTCCCTGCCCTGTGTATCACCGGGAAAAGGCACAGGGGCAGGGCTTGTGGAAACCTGGTGAACTGGCCCCTCCCTGCACTCCCTGTTTCACAGTGTGTACACAGATTGTCCCACACCAGAGCACAAAGGGCAACCTTAGCTGCTTTATAGAAGCACAGCCAGCCTCTGCTAATATGCAGGGTGAGGTAGAGTGTGCGGTCTTCCTCTAGCTGCCCAGAGTGGTGAAAGCTCCTTTTGTTCAGAGCAACTCGGTTGTTGCTGGGCAGCCATGGGTCTGCTGACCGGGGATGCACTGCTCTCTTTGGTCATGGCCATGGCCGTCTTCTTGCTCCTGGTGGACCTGATGCACCGGCGCCAATGCTGGGCTGCTCACTACCCACCAGGCCCTGTTCCAGTTCCTGGACTTGGTAACCTGCTGCAGGTGGACTTCAAGAACAGGGCGTACTCCTTCTACAAGGTAAGGGAGCTGGGGGCGGAGAGCAGCAAAGGTCAGGTGACCACCCCACCATACTAATAGACAGTGGGATACAAAGCCACATGGTGGACGAGGACATGGTTTTATCTGAGGAGGGAATTAGAGGCTCTGTCTTGGGGAGGAGGCCACCAAGGCAGAGAACACTGGACTTTCCATAGGGAGAGGAGTGGGAGGAAAAAGCACAGGAAATTGGGCACAATGGAGTAGCATAACTGACATCCAATTTAATGGAACAGATGTTTTATAGGACCTAAGACCATTCTGGTGACAGCAGAGGCTTGGGGCTGTGGAGCAGTGCAATGGAGTCCTAAGCAGCACTGGAATCTAGAAATCAATGTTGAAAGAAGTTCTGTCTCTAGCATCAAATCCTTGTCCACCATGGGGTCCTGGTCCTCTCTGCTTCCATCTGTGAACCTGAGCTTCCTCATCTGAGGAACGAGAGAGGATAAGACCCTGTGTCCATATTTCACCGACACTTTCTGCACTCTGCTGGGGCCCTAGCTGGGCTGTCAGATCGGGTGTAAGGTGGTTGTTCTGAAGTTAAGAAATGTGGCAGGAGCCTGTAGATGCTAGGTGTTGGGCAGTGGTTGGCCTGGAGTGCTGGTGTAGCAAGAATGAGGCCAAGAGCGCCCTCATCACTCCCATAAAGAAAAAGGAGAAGAAAGCAGCAAACAGAAGAGAGAAGGCAGTAGACCTGGTGTTTGCACTGCTTTTACTGGGTTTCCATGTCTTGACAGCGAGGCTGAGACATGCATTATGGCAGGAATCCCAACTTCACAGGCTCGCTGTCCCTCCACCTGCAGCTGCAACATCGGTTTGGAAATGTGTTCAGCCTGCAGTTTGCCTGGACTCCAGTTTGCCTGGACCTCCAGTTGTGGTCAATGGGCTGGTGGCTGGCGGGAGGCTCTGGTGAACCAAAGTGAGGACACCTCAGATCGGCCTACAATGTTCACCAATGCACTACTAGGCTTTGGACCGAAAGCCCAAGGTAAAAGTCTATAGGTCACAGGTGACATCAGGGTAGAACCCTGAGCGCAGTGACCCACAGTGGACCGGGCTTATTGTGCATGGTAATATGTTCAAGGACAATGGAGGTCCCTATCCTCTGGCTATGAAGTCAGAAAACAAGCTGTTGCACAGTGTTGGAGACAAAGTTTGTTTTGGATCAGCAGCCAGGAGTGAGGGAAGGTTGCAAGGCACAGGTTAGTACTTTCTTGTCCTAACTTGAGCTCTGCTTTCTAGGGGTTATTGGGGCACCCCTATGGGCCCGCCTGGCATGAGCAGCGGTGCTTCTGTGTGTCTACTCTGCGCAACTTTGGCCTGGGGAAGAAGTCCCTAGAGCAGTGGGTGACCGAGGAGGCCTCCCATCTCTGTGCTGCTTTCGCCAACCATGCTGGTAGGTCATAGGTTGAGGGACAAGAAGAATCTACTGGTACAGAAGTCACAAGAAGTGGCAACAGTAGGGGGAATGCATTTCTATTTCCAGGACAACCCTTGCACCCCAGCACCCTGCTGAGCAAAGCAGTCTGTAACGTGATCGCATCTCTCATCTATGCAGGACGATTTCAGTATGATGACTCGACAGTTATCAAGATATTACAGTTTCTAGAGGATACTGTGGGGGAGGACAATGGCTTGTTGCTTCAGGTGCAGTGTTGAGCCCTGTGCAGTGACAGCGTCCTGCAGAAGGGCTCTAAGAAGATAATTTACCTGCAGCAGGGATGGAAAGAAAGCATCAGGGAGGATCACTGCAGGAAGAAAGGTCTGGTGGTGGCAAATCAGAAAGCAATAATGGGAGAGGTGGCTGAGGTTCAGAGATGCAGAGAGGATTAGAGCCTGTGTCCACGCTGGAAGCGACCCAAGCTCATGAGATTTCTGTGGTAGGAGGTTTCTGTGACAGCTCGGCAGCAGAAGAGAGCTTTGATGCTGGCACAGTGGAGGCATCGGGGCAAAGGTGTGCAGTGCCAGGCCTTGGGTCACCATGGAGGAGGCTGGGTGTGAGATGACACCTGTGAGTCTGGAGCACAGGAAGCACCCAGGCTCCCTCTGTGCTGTCACAGATAGTGAACTCAATGCCGCTGCTCCTGGGCATCCCATGGGTGGCTGCCAAAGTCCTGCCTGCACAGAGGTCCTTCATGGCCTTGAATAATGAGCTGTTGGCTGAGCACAACACAAGCTGGGACCCAGACCAGCCTCCCCGAGATCTGACTGATGCTTTCCTGACTGAGGTGCATAAGGTGAGAGTGGGCTGTGAGTAGGGATCAGGGTCTGTGAGCCAAGTGTTCTGGGAGGTGTGAGGCCACGTGGGACCTCAGCATCTCCCAGAGACCCAGCACCTGTGCTGAGGTGTGGTGCAAGTGGAATCCTGTCTGTGTGTCTGTTTGACTGACTTATTCCCCTTGAGGGAATGTCCAGGTCTCCTACCTCTTTCAGGAGATAGAGGTACTTCCAGCATTTTTTTATGATTTTATTTTTTTCATTTAAAGAAAGAATAAACAAAACAGAAAAAGGGTAGAAATAATACATAATTTCAAAGAAAATATAAACAGTAAGAAATTATTAATTGATAATTACATATAATCCTCTTACAAATACTTGTTCAAGTTACAACAGTGAAGCATGCAAAGTGGACATTCAAAGAGCGAGACTGCAAACAGTTCTGTTCAACCATCAAACAACAACTAGTACTATGATTATCAATCCTATACACTTATATATGCATGCAGTTATCCATACCTTCATGTATGTTAAGATTAAGCAAACCAGAGCAGGCTAAAATCACTCTGAACAAAGAATAATAGTATTCCTGGATTACACATCATGACACTACGGGATCAGCACTGGGTACTGTAGTGTCTCTTTTTCTTCAAAGTAGTTGTTCATTTCATCATTCATTATATGATCAATTCTCATAAGCTGTTTATAGGTTCTATGTATGCATGAGTCTGTGTATGTATTTCTGTGCTTTCTATATTATATTAGAGGGAGAAATAAAACAAAGGAAGAAAAAACAAAATATATTCCTATAAACACTGAAATGAAAAGTCATATAAAACCACAGTACAAGGTGTTCTACAGTGGTTACTCTGTTGTCTCTTGTTATCTTCAATAGAATAGAATTTCATGATCAGGCATAGTATAATTGCATACAGCAGTACATAACAATATTAATAAAAACAAAACGTTGTAGATAGTGTAAAACTTCAAAAACAGGTAATAATGAAACCAGAATGCGTATTGCAGTGGATCTTGTCATCTTCAGTGTAGTTGCCTATACTCTCAGACTTGATGCTATCAATCATAACAGTTTTGAATAAAATCTGTCGATACCCAACAGCAGTCTAACAAACCAGATTTAACTGAGATCAGTCATGGTAACCATATAAGTCATACAGGGCTCCAGATTAAGTTTATAGGAAATTAAGGATGATTACCATACTATATCCTGTGATTTCCGGGATAGCTGTCTGTGCCCTCAGATCTAGTGGAATTAGACAGATTGGGACACAATATAATCTATCTAAACAAAGCGGTGTGACTAATGTGGGTTTTAAATCCTGATACACTATTAACAAGAGTCCTCTGCCTTCTTGTGTTCTCCTTTCAATCCCACAGGGTGTACTGTCCATTTTTGGGTCCCACCAACTCCCTCAGTTTTCAGATTTGGGGGGCCAACCTGCTATTTACCTAAGTGGTTCCAAACCTTCTCCCTCCTGGGGTTGATCTCATGTTACATTCCTTTACCTACAATACCTGTCTTTCCAACCTATCTGCAGGTACTGTTTGAGTTACCCCTATTACTCTCTGGTTTCCTGTCACATAGAGCATTGTTTCTTCATATTTGACTTTCAGTCTGTAAACTCTTTCACAGGTTAATTATATTTTCTATATAGAGCATCTTGGTGGACCCTACCTCCTGATCTACTCTACCTGTGTTTCTTTTTTTCTTTTCTTTTCTTTTTTTTTAGTGTACCAGGGCCATCTACATTAGAGATTGTAGCCAACCTTCTCTGCCTCATTTCTGTTGTGCTATTTTCCTGCCATTAGTTATCTGCTTTTCTCCTTCATGGCACTTTCTGCTCCATTCATTGAGGCCTCTTTGCCACTGTTTCTGAAATCCTGGTGCTTCTTTCTCTCTCTAGAATGTCCTACAGTATTCTCTGTAGAGTTGGATTGGTGGTCAAGAATTCCCCCAGTTCCTCTTTGTCTTGGAAACATCTTGTTTCTCCATTAATTTCTAGAGACAGTTTTCCAGGGTACATCAATCTGGGTTGGAGGTTATTTTCTTTCTGGGCTTGGAATATTTTGCCCCAAGCTCTTCTTGATTTAATGGTCTGTGTCGAGACGTCTGCTGTGATTTTGATGGGTTTTCCTTTATAGGTGATCTATTTCTTTTCACTGATGGCTTTTAATATTGTGTTCTTATATTGAATTTCTGGGATCTTGATTATTATATGTCTGGGTATAGCTCTGTTTTGGTTGTAGTTGGCTGGAGTATTGTATGCCTCATATATCTGAATATCATTTCCTTTTCCTATGCTTGAAAAGTTTTCCTTTATTATTTCTGTGAATAGCCTTTGTATTTCCTTTGTTATTACTCCTGATTCTTTATTCTCATTCTTTATTCTTAAGTTATAGATCCTGTTGTTGTCTTGTAGGCTTTGTATTGTTACTGCCTGTTTCCTTGATATTGTTAAGAAATTTTTCCTTTCATGATCACACATTGCAAAGCTGTCTTCAAGTTTTGATAGTCTATCTTTAGTTTCTTTCAAGCAGTTTTGCCAGCTTTCAATGGAGTTTTTTGTTTCTTGGTAATCTCTTTGAACCTGCTTCATGTATTCTAGGTTTTCTTTATTTCTTCATTGAATGTTTCTCTCATTTTTTTTGGTATTCCTCCATTCTTCCATGTGTATCTTTTTGAGAGGCACTTAGCATTTCTGTTATTAATCTGCTTCTATCTTGCTTTACTTGATTAAATATTTCACTTTTGAGTGTGTCAATGAGGTCCTAAAGATATCTCTTTATTTCCACTGATGCTGTGTCTGATATTGCATGTTTGCTGTCCTCAATCTGTTTTGTATTTATCTCTCCTGGATCAATGTTATCAGGGCTGGGGGCTGGGGACTTTTTCTTGTTTCTTTCTCATGTTTTTGGTTTCTTAAAAACTGGTGTATAGATGAGGTCCCAGCCCCTTTCCTTGTTGGTTATGGTTCTTCTGAAGCACGCTGGCTAGGGATTTCTGTCTTCTCCAGTTTGCTATTGGTCACTGAGGTGAAAACAGCGGTGGCATGCTGGCCACTTCCCTCTGAGTCAGTATACATGTGGGGGCCTTCACTGCATTAGGATGTGCTGTGTTTGGAATTGGTTTGGGACAGCTTATTGTTTCCTGGCCAGGGATGTGACCCAGGCCAAGCAGATCCCACCAATCTGGTCTGGGAGGCGAACAACTGACTGAAGTCACTGCTGTTACTTTTCCTGCTAGTCCCGCCCAATTCCAACATATTGTCCAGTTGGTCCCCCCTTTCTCGTGGGAGGGTCTTATTCCCAGCATTCATCGCAGGTCAATGCAGGTCTCTTACCCGCTCTGTTCTCTGTTGGGTTCACTGGCTTCCAACTTCAGTGCAACCACGGTTCCAAAGAGTTGCAGCAGCGGTAGTTCAGGCAGCTTGGTCAAAGCAGTGGGAGTTTGGGCAGCTCGATCTAAGCAGTGGGAGATTGAACAGCTCAATCCCAAAGGCAGGAATTCTGGCTACTCCTCGAGTTGTGGCCACTCAAGTTCGGGCACTCTGGTGAGAGCACCATAGCCATTAATCTTAGCTGCTTAAATGGTAGCTCCAGGACTGCATGTTTGACTGTTTTTTTTCCCTTTTAATTTCTTCCTGAGTTGAGAGGATCCATCTCCCTCTGTCTGGACCTCCCCACAATGTTTTATTCCAGCATCTGAGTTGACTGTCTCAGGGAGCCTCTGTATTCTGCTGCTTATCTATCCGCCATCTTTAGCTCCTCCCCCATTCCACCTTTTAAAACAATCTTTATTTAAAGAAATACAAAACAAAATAGAAAACAGGTAGAATACATACTTTCAAAGAAAAAAATAAACAGTAATAAAGTTATTATTTACATATTGTCCTCTTACAAATAATTGTTCAAGATGCAAAAGTGGAACATATAAATGGGAATTCAAACAGTGAGACTGCAAATAGTTGTGTTCAACCATCTAATAAAAACTTAGTAATATGGTTATCAATCCTATACAATAAAACATATATGCATTTATCCATATCTTCACTTATGTTGAGATTAAAAAAAACAAAGCAGACTAAAATCACTCTGAACAAAGTATAATAGTATTGCTGGATTTCACATCATGACACTCTGGAATCAGCACTGGGTAATGTAGTGCCTTTTTTTCCTTCAGAGTATTTGTTCATTTCATCATGTGTCATAAGATCAGTTCTCATAAACTGTTTATAGGTTTTACACAAGCATGAGTCTTAGCATGTATTTCTATCCTTTCTGTATTACAGGGAGAAATAGAACAAAGCAGGATGATAAAAAACATATTCCTGTAGACACATAAAACTAAAAAGACATATAAAACTCTTGTATAAGGAGTTGTACCATTGTTACTGTGTTTTCTTGTTATCAGTAGAATTGGCTGTAGCAACAGATATAGTGTAATTGAATATATCAGCACATAATAATATTAATAGAAATACAACTTTGTAGATAGTGTAGAACTACAGAAACAGGTAGTAATCAAACCAGGATGGGTACTGTACTGAATCATTATCATTTTCAGTATAATTGCTTATACTCTCAGACTTGATACTATCAACCTTAACAGTTTTGAATAAAATCTGTCAATGACAAGCAGCAATGAAACAAGTCATATTTAACTAAGATCAGTCATGATATAACAGTATAAGATATACAGGGATCCAGATTAAGTTAATAGGAAATTAAAGATGATTACTGTGCTTGGGATAGCTGTCTGTGCCCTCAGTTCTAGTGCTTGTATATAAACTGGGATGGAATAAGTTCTATCTAAGCAGAGTGGTGCAAGTAATATGGGTTTTAATTCCTGATACACTATTAGCAATATCTTCTGCTGTCTTTTTAAAGACTATTCCTCCCCTTTCACTCTCCCAGGGTGTACTGTGCATTTTTGGATCTCCCCAACACACTTGGTTTTATATTGGGGGGAGGGGAAACCTGCTATTTAGCTAAGTGGTTTGAACCTTCTCACTCCTAGACTTGATTTTTAGTTGTATTTCCTTACCTAGTAAAGCCTGTCTTTGCAACCTATCCATAAATACTGATTCCGTAGCCCCTATTCCTCTCTGGTTCCCTATCACATAGAGTACTGTTTTCTCATACTTGATTTTTAGGCCATATATCCTTCTTCAGGTAAATTATCTTTCCTATAAAGAGCACCTCAGTGGACCCTACCTCTTGATCCACTCTGCATGTGATTTTCTCTTTTTTTTCCTTAAGTTGGAGTGTCCAGGCCTCTATATTAGAAATTATATTCAACCTTCTCTGCCTCATTTCTGTTATTCTCTTTTTCCATCATTAGTTGTCTGTTTGTCTTTTTCATTTTGCTTTCTGCCCCACTCATTGAGACCTCTCTGCCACTGTTCCTGAAATCCTGGTACTTTTATCTCTCTTCAGAATGTCCTGCAGTATTCTCTGTAGAGTTGGATTGGTGGTTGTGAATTCCCCCAGTTCCTCTAAATCTTGGAAGCATCTTGTTTCTCTATTAATTTCTAGAGACAGTTTTTCAGGGTATATCAATGTGTGCTGGAGGTTATTTTCTTTCAGGGCTTGGAATACTTCGCTCCATGTTCTTCTCGATTTGATGGTCTGTGTTGAGAAGTCTGCCATGATTCTGATGGGCTTTCCCATGTAAGTAATCTGTTTCTTGTCTCTGACAGCTTTTAACATTCTGTTCCACCAGTTTTAAGGCCCACTTATTTTCCATTGGGTGACAGTGTAGCTATCTTCTAGTAACCGTGTTTCCTTTTCCTGGGCTCATTTAAAAGTGACAATGTATTGTCTGAAAATCTTATGTGAAAATTTCAGAAATAATAATTTGTGAATTTTCAATTGTGAAACACACTGAGGAGCACAATTAAACTTACTAATCTACTTCCATGATGTTCAGTAAGACCATGAAATTCCTGTCCAGTATCTTCCTGCTGGGTTGGCTATAGACCATCAGTTACTTGGTTGTGTGAGCATCTGTTTCCGTGTCACAGTGCTGGTTTGAAGGGAGAAGAGACTCCATCCACACACACTCAGCGTGGCACACTATCACTGTCCTCCTGGGCCTGGGTTATACATCACCTTCTTCCTGATGCATATGTGTAGGAGACACCGTAGTGTATTTACAATTGGTTGTATCTACCCATATGGGAACCAGCTAGCTGGGGTCTTGGGGGTGCTCCCACCTCCGAGGGCTGACTGCTGTCCCAGTTTTCTTCCTCCAGCCCTCTGTAGATGCACACTCATGGTGCCTCCATTCCTGTACCACAGTGAAACCTGCTGCAGTGGTCCTGGGTGTGCAGACTCTGCACTGCGCTTCTTGTGGGTGTGAGCTGAGAAGGGCAGCTTCTGAGTAGAGGAGAATTCTCTTTAGTTTCAGGAGAAGCCCCCTGTTTTATCTCATATGGTACCTTTACCATTTGAGGGTCTCATGGAGAGCCCCAGCCTGCACGTCTGCCTACCCGAGTTTTCCGTGGTTCTCTCACAAAGGCCATCAGGATGCGTGTGAGGGTGCATCTCAGTGTGCTTTCATTTGCCCTATTCTAATAATAAGCAACATATGAGCATCCTTTCCTGTGCTCATGGGGCCTACTGTATAGTTTCCTTCGAGAAATGACAATTCAACTCTTTGCTAATTTTTAAATTGAATGATGTCATTTTGGTCGTTGTGCAGTATTTCTGCTATTAATGTTTTGTCACATTTACGACTAGTAGTTGTTTTTCTCAATGGTATGGGCTTCCCTTTTCCTTCTGTTGATGGTGATATTCGGTGGACAATACCTGTAATTTTCGTGAAGTCTAATCTGCTTTCTCTTTCTTGACTGTTCCACTGATTTCCATCCAAAGTATCACTGCCAAACCCAGCTCGGGGAAACGTTTGCTTTGTGCTCATGCATCTCGCTCTCTGATCTGTTTAAGGACAGTCTGTGTGTGTGGTGGCAGCTGAGCGCTGCACTTCATTCCTGTCCCCAGGGATGCATGTGTTTCCCAGCACCATTTATTGAGAGACTGTTCTGTCCCCATGCACTGAAAATCATGGGGCCTTTTTTGGTCAAATGATGAGTGTTGGGAGGATGTTTGCAGAACACAATTCCTTCTCATGCCGAAGCATGAACTTCTACACACGTAGGTGGTGTAACCTGCTCTGCCCAGAGGTTCGATGGAGGAGCCTACTGCTCTTAGTCTACCAACCAGTAAAGCTTGTTACTGTGCTCAGTGTTTTAGGGGTTCATAACATGATAATATGAGGTCACCCTACCGGGCATAAGAATTTTTAGATCCATTATAGTCATAAAGTACTCCCCATAAGTGCTGGTCATTGACTGAAAGGTAGATCTGTGGTATGTCATTTCCAGGGTGTGTTTCCTAAGCCTTTCTCTGTTGCTGTGTACATCCTACTTCACAACTGTGTCACCCTGTTTTGATTAGTGAGCTTTGAACCCATGGCTCCCACAGTAGTTTGACATGACTTTGGACTTTATTGCAGAAAAGAGATACGACTCGGTACACTCAGTCCTGAGAGCTTTAAACTTTCGTCTTTTATTAAGCTTTCAGTATGTGAATAGATACTATCTGGGGAGGTTGAGTTATGACAGGGTCCACTGGCTGAGGGGTAATTATTTTTCTCTGGTTGTGGGGATTGAACCCAGGGCTTTTATATGCTAATTCTCATGAATATGTACAAAATGATATTACATGCTGTTTCTGCAGCAGTGGAGATGCTCATATGGCTTTTTCCTTTGGTCCTGTTAGTGTGGGTCCTGTGATGATCGGTTCTTATGTGAGAGACCAGATAGGAAGATGAAAGCTAACTGGTCTCTTAAGTGACCGTTAGACAGGGTGGGTAAGCCTGTGCTGCAGTGCTCCCAGGAAGACTGATGCACAGTGTCCGGCTGTTCACTCGGGTAGGCACCATGCATGGTGGGCAACATATGAATGCTGGTTTACTCTAATCGCCTGTGACCATGTCTACGTGAGTGAAGTCAGGAAGTGCCAGTCCCACGGGGCTTTTTGTCAAAGGGAAAGGACAGCACCATGGCCCCCACCTTTAACCTAATTCTGTGTCTCTTGGTGTTGCATCTTCACTACCCCTGAGTCAGTTACAAACTCATCGGTCCCCCCATGCAGTTTTCATATGTTTAAGCATCATGGCAGTGCAGAAATAGTTTCCAAAAGGTGAGTGTTGGGATGGGAGCTGTCTGGTCCTTGGTGTCTAGGACCTCTGTCAGGCCCTCAAAGTCTGTCTGCTCCACCCACTCGCCTCCCCTTGTCCAGTCCGAGTACCTGCTGTCACACAGCCCCACTGGGCCATCCTGGGTTTTGCACTGTTATTGCTTAAATCATTTTCAAGTTGTCTGGGCTTCTCAGAGGAATCTGTAGATGAGGATTTGAAACAAGAGGCTTGAAAGAGAAGCATAGGCTTGTCTGTGGAAGGTCCAGTGAAAAGTGAGCTGAAGGGAGAACAAAGAATCTTACATCTTTCCAAGGAAGGAGTTGCTTCAATCAAAGGGGAAATGAAACCAGAACTGCAGTGGCTAGCTGTACAAGCTCTCTCATCTCCTGACAGGAAGAAGCCTGGGCTCCTCATGGGGGAGGCTTGACGTGAGCACTGCTTTGTGCTGAGATTCTTCAGGCATCTGTGGCCTGGGAACAAAGTCTTAGTTTCTCTCCTCCAGGGTGGTTAGATGAGGTACGCTGTATGTGAGGGTGCTTGTGTGCTTTGCTTGGAGAATAGGCACATGTGACCTGTTTGTGGCCTGGTCAGAGAGGGTGGAAAGCAACTGAACCTGCTAGAAGTGGTTTTGAGAACCCTTGGACACCAGTTAATCCTTGTTGGACTGCAAAATTATCCCTGAAGCATGCAAGACAGACCTACTACTGTCTGACAAACCCTCGCACATCGCCAAAGTCCTGCCGGTTTGGTCTGTCAGCTTCCTGACCTCCACTTGCTGTTCACTGTGCTTCTTGGAGCAGTGATCCACCATGCTCCAGGGCTGAAACCTGCATAAGCAGTGTGTTTGGTTCCATGGAACTTTCTTCCCAGGACTCTCCCCTGCCCTGAGTATCACCAGGAAGAGGCAGAGGTGCAGGGCCATTGGAAATTTTCTGCCCTGGCCCCTCCCTGCACTCCCTGATTGCACAGTGTTCACACAGATTGTCCCACACCAGAGGACAAAGGACAGGATTAGCTGCTTTATAAGAGGACAGGTGGCCAGTTCCAATATGCAGGGAGAGGTAGAGTATGCTCTCTGCCTAAGCTTCCCAGAGTGGTGAAAGCTTCTTTTGCTCAGAGCAACCCATTGGTTGGTGGGCAGCCATGGGGCTGCTGACTGGGGATGCACTATTCTCTGTGGCCATGGCTGTGGCTATCTTCCTGTTCCTGGTGGACTTGATGCACAGGTGCCAATGCTGGGCTGCTCACTACTCACTAGGCACTGTTCCAGTGCCTGGACTTGGTAACCTGCTGCAGGTGGACTTCAAAAACATGGTGTACTCCTGCTACAAGGTGGGGAAGCTGGTGGTGGAGAGCGGCAGAGGTCAGGGACCCCTCTATAGTAATAGACAGTGGGGTACAATATCACATGTTAGACAATCACATGGTTTTATCTGAAGGGGGAAGCAGAGGATATGTATTGTAGAGGACTGCAACAGGGAAGAAAACTGTGGACTTTCCATTGGGAGAGGAGTGGGAGGACAAACTACAGGAAGTTGGGCAGGATAAGGTAGCGGGCCTGGCATCCAATTTTATGGATGACATCAGAATCTTGGGGCTTGGGAGCAGGGTAAGGGAGTCTTAAGCATCACTGGAATCTAGAAATTGATGTTGAAAGAAGTTCTATCTCTAGCATCAAATCCTTTGTCTTCCATGGGGTCGTAGTGCTCTCTGTTTCCCTCTGTGAAGCTGAGTTTCCTCATCTGAATGATGAGAGAGGATAAGACCTTGTGTCCACATTTCACTGACAGTTTCTGCCCTCTACTTAGGCCATAGCTGGGTTGTCAGATCCAGGTGTAAACTGGTCGTTCTGAACTTCAGAAATGTGGCAGGAGCCTGAAGATGCTAGCTGTTGGACAGTAGTTGGTGTTGGGTGCTGATGTAGCAAGAATGAGGGCATGAGTGACCACATCACTCCCATAAAGAAAAAGGAGAAGAAAACAGCAAACAGAAAAGAGAAGGTGGTAGACCTATTGTTTGCACTGTTTGAACTGTGTCTCCGTGTCTTGGGAGTGAGACTAAAGCATCCATAATGGAAGGAGTCCCAGCTTCACAAGAGTCCTGTGCCCCCATCCACAGTGACAAAATCAGTGTGGGAATGTGTTCAGCCTGCAATTTGCCTGGACACCAGTGGTCATGGTCAACAGGTTGGTGGCTTTGCGGAAGGCTGTGGTGAACCACAGCAAGGACACCTCAGGTCAGCCCACAGTGCCGAGCAATGACCTGCTGGGCTTTGGACTGAATTCCCAAGGTAAAGTTCAATGGGCCACAGATGACAATAGTGTAGAACTGTGGGGGCACCCATGGTGGACAGGGCTTATTGTGTATGGTAATATGTTCAAAGGAAAATGGAAATCCATGTCCTCTGACTATGAAGCCAGAAAAGGAGCTGTTGCACATTATTGGAGACAAAGTTTGTGTCTGATCAGCAGCCAGGAGGGAGTGGATGATACAAGGGCACAGGTTAGTACTTTCTGGTCCTGACTCGAGCTCCCCATTCCAGGCACTATTGGGGCACCCTATGTATTGTAACCTAAGAGCAGAATAGGATGTTTTCCTAATCTAAACTTGCTTTTTAGCCCACCTGAACCTTGTTCTTCCCAAGAAATGTAACCACCGCATTCCTGTTCTGTAGTGTGCTGCAAACCCAACCCCCTGCATTGTGAGACCAACAGCTATTTGCAGTTTTACAGGATTAAAAACCCTGCCCTTTAGCTGTTAGGCACGCAGTCTTCCATATTGTCTACTGGAGGCTGCGTCACCAGTCCTGTGCTTTAATAAATATTTTTTTCTTTCCGAATTATTTTCTCTGGGTCCTTCATGCCTCAGGAAGTGGACCACCACATTTGGGGGCTTATCCAGGATGGAATAACAGCCCACTGCCTCAATTCCTGAGGACTGATTCACTAAGAGTAACTACTGGAGGCTCCCATTTCATTTAAAGTGATACCATGAAGTCTTAATTTTGTTTAGGAGGGGATGCCCTCATCCTTGGGAGCTTGTATCCTTGTTGGGAATCTTAGACCATTTGTTTTAGAGTCTCTTGACTCACTTGGATCTTGGACCCCAGCAGGGCTGCCCTCCAATTTGATATTGGAATTTGAAGGGAAGCCTCCAGCCTAAATTCATTTATTTTTCCAGAGAAAGGTTGTTTTTATTTTACCAGTACTGGTGGTTTTGTTTTTGTTTTGTGTCTTTGTGTAGTCCTGTTTTGTCTCGTGTCTTTTATTCTAATTTTTCCTTTGCAGGACATTTAGGCCTGAGAGATCACATGTGCCTTTGGTCGCTCTGAGGGTGCTGACAGTTTTCTTTTAAACCCCAGGTGACCCTCGGACCAGACAAATATCCAATAAGTTTACAGGCTTGTCAAGGAATTTCAAAACATATCACTAGATTAAAAGATAATAAGATTCTTGTACAAATTTTTTTTTGTCTTTTTCTTTTTTATCGGTACCAGGGATCAAACTCACGACTGCCTACTTACAAGGCAGGCGCTTATGCTGCTGAGCTAAATCCCCAGCCCCCGATAATAAGATTCTTGTACCTTGCATCTCTCCCTGGAATACACCATTGCTCCCAGTCCAGAAGCTGGGGATGCAAGGTTACTGGCCAGTGCAAAACCTCTGGGAAGTCAACAGGTGAGTGGTTACTCTGCATCCTACTTCCTAATCCCTACACCCTGCTGAGCCTTTTGAGCCCAGAGTACATCTGGTACTCAGTCTTGGTCCTAAAAGATGCTTTCTACACCCTCCCAGTGACTCTGGTAAGTCAATCCATTTTTGGTTTTGAATGGACTGATCCAGAGACTGGGTTGGAGAACAGTTGACATGGACACGTTTACCACAAGGTTTTAAAAATGCTCCACACTTTATTTGATGAGGCCTTAGCTAGGTACCTGATGGGGTATTGAGAATATCACTCAGAGGTCATACTTTTGCAATATGTTGATGACTTACTAGTGGCTGTTAAAACCTTTGAGGATTGCAAGGAAGCAACCAAGGCCCCGTTAAAAACTTTAACTGATTTGGGATACAAGGTTTCAGCAAAAAAGGCACAGATATGCCAGCAGATAGTGACTTACCTGGGATATCAATTACAAGGTGGAAAAAGGACCCTTTCAAATCTGTAGGATGGTTCAAGCCATCCTACAGATACTGGCACCAAAAACCAAAAAGCAAGTCCGTGAGTTTCTTGGTGCAGTTGGATATTGTAGGCTCTGGATATTAAACTTTGCTGAGATAGCCCAGCCACTATATGACTCTTTAAAAAGGCAAACACAGGGCCCACTGGAATGGACAGGCATGCAAGAGACAGCCTTCCAACAACTAGGCAGGCCCTTAGCGGATGCCCCCGCACTAGGACTCCCTAACATAAAGGAGCCATTTTTCTTGTATGTGGAGCTGAGAGGGATTACAAAGTGGGTAATAACCCAGGAACTGGGGCCTTGGCAGAGACCAATAGTCTATCTAAGAGGCTAGACTCGGTGGCCACTGGTTGGCCACCATGCTTAAGGATCATTGCTGCAGTGGCTATGTTGATAAAGGAAAGCTAGCTTGCTTTTAGCCAGAAGGTAACTGTGATAACCTCTCACTTGCTTGACACTCTTATCCTGGCCCCTCCAGATCAGTGGCTATTGAATGTAAGGATAATGCATTACCAAGCACTGCTTTTATATCCTGACTCTGTTGTTTTCAAGTCAGCAGCCCTGAATCCAGCCACATGGCTGCCCGATGAGGATCTGTCAGCCCCATGCCATGAATGCTCCACCTTAATTGACAGCTACCAGAGCCTTCGATCCGACCTGACCGACAAACCTCTAGAAGGGGAACCATCATTCTTCTCAGATGGTAGTAGCTACATGTACCAAGGTAAATGAGTTGCAGGGGTGGCTGTGACCTCTGAGACCCAAAGTTTGTGAGCACAGAGGCTGGACTCTGCACTTCTGCTCAGTGAGCTGAACTCATCGCTTTGACAAAAGCCTTGAAACTGACTAAAGGTAATCGGATTAACATCTACACTGATAGCAGATACGCTTTTGCTACTGCTCATGTACATGGGGCAATTTATCAGGAGAGAGGACTATTGACCTCAGCAGGAGATAAAATAAAAAATGCCCCTCAAATATTAGACCTGCTGGCAGCAATTTGGTTACCTGAGAAAGTAGCCATCATACATTGCAAGGCCCACCAAAAAGGAGATGATTGTGTTACCAGGAGAAACAAGTTGGCTGATATAGCAGCCAAAGAAGCTGCCATAAAATCAGTGGGGTTTGAAGAAGGGGACATAGAGGAAACCACTCCTACCCTCTTGGTGATCCCTCCAACGTTATCAGAACCTGTGTATACACAAAAGGACCTCCACTTGGCTGCCCAAATCCAGGAGAAGCCCGACATTCCAGGAGGCTGGTATCAGTTACCAGATAAGAGAATCTTGCTGCTCGAAGTCCTCAGACAGGAGCTCATTCAGCAAGCTCATCAATCCACTCATTTGGCAGGATCAAAACTAGCCGAGCTCTTTTGGGAATGATTCTTTACACCCCAGCTGTCCAAATTGACAGTGGCTGCCAGTTCAAGATGTCCTCAATGTCAAATAGTTAACTTCACATGGAAACTACTTGTTTTTGGGGAACTTCCCCAAGGGCACACCAGGAAATAGACTTTACTGAAATGAAGAAGCTGGGTCTCCAGGGACACAAATACCTGCTAGCGATGGTCAACACCTTCACTGGGTGGGTGGAGGCATTTCCCACCAGGTCAGAATCAGCTCTCACAGTCGTTTAAAAGTTGTTATATGAGATCATTCCTCATTTTGGCCTACCCTTATCTATGGGGTCTGACAATGGCCCGGCTTTCATAGCCCAGATAACTCAAAAACTAACCCAGGCCTTACAGATTGATTGGAAACTTCATTGCACGTACCGACCTCAGAGCTCAGGGCAAGTAGAGAGGATGAATCAGACATTAAAAAATACGATTACAAAGCTGTCTTTAGAAACCTGCAATAATTGGATAAGTCTCTTTGCTTTTGCCCTCCTGCAGACCAAATGTACTTCTTACATTTCTGGTATATCCCCTTTTGAAGCAATGTACAGGAGGCCCCCTCCTCTCATTCCAAAACTCTCTGAGGAAAAATTGGCAGAATTGACTAACCAAGAACTCATTAAGTTTCTTCAGGCTCTTCAGCCCATCTTGACCTCTATATATCGGTTATTCAGGCCAAAGCATCCTCCAGTAGAATCTCACTCTGAGTCCAGCCCACTGGTGGAACCCAGTACTCTGGTCCTAGTCAAGCATCACCAATGAGAGACCCTCGAGCCTCGCTGGGAGGGACAGTCCACCATGTTACTCAGCTCTCCCACTGCAGTGAAGGTGACTGGAAAAACACCTTGGATCCCCCACTCTCATGTGAAGGTTCTGGACACCCAAGGAGACCAACTTTCCCAGGACCAGTGGACTGTGCAGCAGACTGGTAACCCCTTGAAGTTAAAATTGACTGAGTTAAATTGTATCAGGCATGTGCTGCTTTAGCTTGCTTGCTTTTGCCCCTTCTGTCCCACTACTGGGGACTTTAATGGCGCTGTTACCGACCTCACACAGCGAGTTTGGACCTCCTGTAAGCAAAGAACAGCTGTCCTGTTGCCTGACATAGAGGTTTTACCTGGGCTTGAGCCTGTCCCTATTCCTAGCCTGAATTACATTACAGGCCACTCAAAAAGAGCAGTTCAATTTATTCCTTTATTGGTAGGTCTGGGAATATCAGAAGCCCTGGGTATGGGGGCAGCAGGAGTGGGGGGGTCTCTGTTCAACTTCCAACGAGATCATTAAAGATGTACAGGCATTGTTTAGTACCATTCAGGACATTCAAGATCAGGTAGATTCGTTAGCTGAAGTGGACCTTCAAAATAGAAGAGGGCTAGACCTCCTGAAAATCTAGTTAAAAAAAAAAGGGGAGAGCTATTTGAAAACCCCCTTTGGAGTGTCTGGAATGGAATCCTGCCTTGTCTTCTGCCCTTGCTTGGACTGTTGCTAGGATTGCTACTCTTGGTTTTAATAGGCCCCTGTATAGTCAACAGGCTAACTACGTCTATCAGGCAGCAAGTACAAGATGCGAGGCTGATGGTGTTATGCCACCAAGGTTATGAAATGTTACTGCTTCACCATCAAGATTAGTTCTCAAGTCTTCCCCAAAGATTTGAAGAAGAAGACATAAAATCAGTGGGGAATGTTGTAACCTAAGTGCAGAACACGATGTCTTCCTAATCTAAACTTGCTTGTTAGCCCACCTGAACCTTGTTCTTCCCAAGAAATGTAACCGCTGCATTCCTGTTCTGTAGTGCACTGCAAACCCCACCCCTCTGCATTGTGAGACCAGCAGCTGTGTGCGGTTTTACAGGATAAAAACCCTGCCCTTTAGCTGTTAGGCACGCAGTCTTCCATATTGGCTACTGGAGGCTGCATCACCAGGCCTGTACTTTAATAAATAATTTTTTTCTTCCCAAATTATTTTCTCTGGCTACTTCATACCTCAGGAAGAGGACCACCACACTATGACCCTCCTGAGTTGGGGAGTGGTGCTTCTGTGTGTCCATCCTGCACAACTTTGCCTGGGAAAGAAGCCACTGGAGCAGTGCATGACTGAGGAGCCCACCTCCTTCTGTGCCACCTTTCCCTCCTAGCATGGTGGGTGACAGGTTGAGGTAATGTCTCAATGGGATTATCAATATAACTTTTTTGGATTATGAGGAAGACAGAAAAAGGGATTAAAATCCTTGGGTTACAACACTCAGTATTTGGGATTACACTAATTAGGTAAGTGATTTGTTCAACAGTTGCTCTTAAGAATGCAGATGAATGCTACATTGGTCCCCTTTATGTACAAGGGCTGCCTTGGCAACAGCTTTCACTCAGGTTATCCATCCCAGCCTAGAAGAAAGAGAAAAAACAAGGTCACCTGTTCCACCTGCGCATGCGCGGGACATTTGTCCTGAAAGTGTTCTGCTGCAGCTACAAGGGCAGCACAGCCAGTATCTCTCCTTTCAGCACAACCTCGTACTATCTGTCCAGAGTGCAGATGAGGGTATCATTGGGCCACGGGGTGTAGATTCTAAACTGATGTGGAAGACCAGGCTATGCCAGAAATCTCCGCATATAAGCCTGCGACAGTTGGATAACAGTAGGGATGCCACGACTTGGAGAGGTGCCCTGCTGGGCATGGCAGGCTCCTCCATGGGAGGCATTGTGGTCCTGATTTGTGGTTTGCTAATTTGAACAATACTCTTGGAGAAACAGTCAGCATCTCCAGAGAATCTGCCATGTTGGATATTAGGGCGCTGAGCAAGAAAGCAACCCATCCTCCTTCCTGACAAGTAGCTGCCATGGCTGAGCAGGGAAGAGAGCCAGTCAGCATCTCCCATGAGCCCAGTGAGCCTTGGGGTGAAAACCAAACATCCAATTCCCACCCTGCTTCCAGTTAGCAGCTGAGGACCAGAGGCCATCTCTTTGTAGGATGACCACATGCAGTAGAGCAAATATGGGGGATTTCCCTTTTTGTTCTCTTTGAAGGCAATATTGTTTTTGGTTTTTTTTAATTTAAAGAGAAAAATAAAACAAGACAAAGCAAGACAGTAAAAGACTACAAGTAATACAGAATTTCAAGAGAAAAAATATACAGTAAGAATTCACTAGTAAATAGATTACATATTGTCATCTCAGAAACAGCTGTCCAGATTACAAAATTAAAGCATACAAAGTGAACATTAATACAGTGAGATTGTAGACAGTTCTGTTCAATGATCCAACAAAAACTCAGTAATATGGTTTTCTATCCTACACTCTTTAATACTCTTGCAGTTGTATCCTTTAGATCACTTTCTTTCCTCCCTATTTTACACTAACAGTCACTCATTTTGGGTTCCATTACTCCCACAATTCTTATAAATTTTTCTTTAAAGAGGAAAAGAAAAAAATATATATGAGACAAGAAACAAGACAAAACAAAACAGAACAACAACAACAAAAAAAACCACAGTGTGACAAAGCAAAACAGAGTCAGTTAGAACAGGAGGATGGACATAGTATATAATGCTAAAAGAGATTACTAGGTGATCAACAATGGTTACCATTATGCCTCTTGTTATCCTACAAAGAGGTGCCTATGTCAGCTGGTATAAAAGAATTGAACAAAACAGTACAGAAAAAGACCAGTAAAACCCACATTGGAGACCTTGCAGGACTTCCAAAGAAGATAATAGTCAAACCATAATGGGCATCATAGAGTATTTGGTTGCCTTCATAGCGGTTGCCTATACCCTCAAATTTGATACTATTAATCAAAACAGAATATAATAAAATCAATCAGAACAAGATGTGGAGAACAATACAAGGGTTCAAATCAGGCAAATAGGAAATAGAAAAACAAAAATGGTACTATAATATATCCTGCTATTTTAAATTTAGTTTTCACTTAATTAAAAGATACTAAGATATAAATTAAATTAAAAAAGGGGGGGTGGAAGATAAAAAAAGAGCATATCAATAGCACAACACAGGTCAGAACTGAACAATTTAAACATCATTATAATTCACCACTAGACAGCCTAACATTAATAGTAGTAACCATAGTGTCTCTTTCCAAGAAACATTTGAGTCTGACTTTGTATACTATAGTATCAAACCCATCAAGACAGTGTGAAACCATTCAAGAAAATGAAAGTATTGCAGGGTATTTAGAACCAGCTAACAGAAACCGAACTTCGGTTTCTATGTGATCTCTTTGCCTATAAAAATTTTTGCTTATACTATTGCACACACTAAAATATAATAAGATACAACATGTTAAAACCAATGGAAACAGATGAACAACAGCTTGATGGGGCTTCAAAACAGGATGATATCAAATCAGCACTAGCTATTACACTGTCTTATTTTCTTCAAAATAGCTATTCGCAGACAATAATATAAAACAACCCAGATTAAAACCATTCCAATTAATGAGTGAAAACATTATATGGCTTCAAACCAGTGTGACTGGGAACCCTGATTACCATGTACTTTTATGTATTCTTATCATTACTTATACTAGGGAAACAATTCGGTATTTATACATGTGAGTTTGATTTATTTCACTTATGAGTATGGTCTCAAGCTGCGTCCATTTATTTATAAATGTCTCAATGTGATCATTCTTTATAGCTGAGTAGTACTCCATTGTATAAAAATACCACAACTTTTTTATCCATTCCTCAGTTGATGGACACTTAGATTGTTTCCAGGATCTGGCTATTACAAATTGTGGTGCTATAAACATGGGTGCACATATATCACTGTGGTATGATGCTTTCAGCTCTTCTGGGAATATGCCTAGAAGTGGAATAGCTGGGTCAAATGGGGCTTACAGTCCTAGCTTTCTGAGAAATCTCCAGACTGACTTCCACAATGGCTGCACTAGTCTACACTCCCACCAACAGTGCAGGAGAGTTCCTTTTTCCCCACAGCCTCTCCAGCATTTGTTGTTGTTGGTTTTCTTGATCTTGGCCATTCTTTCAGGAGTGAGATGGAATCTCAGTGTGGTTTTAATTTGCATTTCTCTAATGACTAATGATGATGAATATTTTTTCATATATTTACTTGCCGTTTGTATTTCTTCATCTGAAAATTGTTTATGCATCTCAGATGCCCATTTTTGGGTGGGGTCTTTGAGTTTTTTTTAATTCTTATATGTTTTAGAAAGAAGTCCTTTGTCTGAGGGGCAGTTCACTAAAATTTTTTCCCAGTTTGTAGGTTTTCTTTTCACTATGTTAAGGATTTCTTTTGATGTGCAGAAACTTGTTAATAAGATATGATCCCAGTTATTGACTCTGGGAAGTATATCCCGTGCGGTGTGAGTCCTTTTCATGAATTTTCTACCTATCCTTATGTCTTCAAGGTTTTTACCCAATTTGCCTTCCAATAAATTTAGTGTTTCTGTTTTAATATTTAGATCTTTGATCCATTTAGATTTTATTTTAGTATATGGTGATAGGCATGGGTCTAGTTTTAGTTTTTGGCATATGGAGAGCCAGTTTTTCCAACACCATTTATTAAAGAGACTGTCATTCTTCCAGTGAACATATTTGGCCCCCTTATCAAAGATAAGGTGGTTGAGTGTATTTGTAGCTGTGGTTGTATCTTCTAATCTATTCCGTTGATCTTTGGCTCTGTTTTGATTCCAGTACCATGTTGATTTAACTACAGATGCTTTGTAGTATAACTTCAAGTCAGGGATTGTGATGCCTCCTGCCTTGCCTTTGCTGCTTAGGACTGTCTTTGCTATTCTAGGTCTCTTCTCACTCCAGATGAATTTTAGGAGTGATTTCTCGAGATCTATGAGATATGTTGATGTTATTTTTATTGGGATTGCATTGAATCTGTATAACAGTTTTGGGAGAATGGCCATTTTCACAATATTTATTCTTCCTATCCATGAGCAAGGGATGTCTTTCCATTTTTTTGAGATTATCTTCAATTTCATTTTTCAGTGTATAATAATTTTCCCTGTATAGGTCTTTCACTTCTTTGGTGAAACTAATTCCTAAATATTTCATTTTTTTTGGTTGCTCGTGTGAAGGGTGTGACTTCTCTTATTTCTCTCTCTGTGATTTTGTTGTTAGTGTATAAGAATGCTATTGATTTTTGAGTATTGATTTTGTATCCAGCTACATTGCTGAATTTATTTATTATATCTAGGAATCTTTCAATGGAGTTTTGGGGGTCTTCTCTATAGAGTATCATATCATCTGCAAATAGTGATAATTTAACTTCTTCTTTTCCTATATTTACACCTTTTATTTCTCTCTCTTGTCTAATTGCTCTGGCTAAAATTTCCAGTACCATATTAAATAGGAGCGGTGACAGGGGACATCCTTGTCTTGTGCCTGATTTTAAAGTAAAGGTCTTCAATTTTTGGCCATTTAGTATGATACCGGCTGTTGGTTTGTCATAGATGGCCTTTATTATGTTGAGGTAAAGACCATCTATTCCAATTTTCTGCAAGGTTCTTATCATAAATGAATGTTGTACCTTGTCAAAAGCTTTTTCTGCATCTATAGAAGTGATCATGTGATTCTTACTTTTGGCTCTATTGATATGGTGGATTACATTTATTGATTTACGTATCTTGAACCATCCTTGCATGCCTGGGATGAATCCCACTTGGTCATGGTGTATGATCTTCTTGATGACTTGCTGCATCCTATTTGCCAATATTTTATTGAGGATCTTTGCATTGGTGTTCATTAGGGAGATTGGTCTGTAGTTCTCTTTTTCAGTTGGATCTTTCTCAGGTTTTGGTACTAGAGTAATATTTGCTTCCAGGAATGACTTGGGAAGGATTGCTTCCCTTTCAATTTCATGAAGAGTTTGAAGAGTGTCGGCATTAGATCTTCTTTGTATTTCTTGTAGAATTCTGCAGTGAATCCGTCTGGGCCTGGGCTCTTCTTTGTAGGTAAGGATTTAATTATGTTTTTGATTTCATTAATAGAAATTGGGTTATTCAGCAGTTTTACATGTTGTTGATCTAGCCTTGTTACTTCATATGCTTCTAGGAATCTGTCTATTTCTTCTGTGTTATCAAACCTTTGAGAGTAGAGCTTTTTGAAATAGGTGTTGATGATCTTCTGAATTTCTATTGGGTCTGTAATGATTTCACCTTTTTCATTCCTGATTGCATAAATTTGAGCTTTTTCTTCCCTTTTTAAAATGAGGTTGGCTAGGGGCTTATCAATTTTATTTATTATTTAAGAACCAACTCTTTGATTCATTGATTTTTTGGATTGTTTTCTTAGTCTCTATTGTGTTGATTTCTGCTCTGATTTTTATAACTTCCTCTCTTCTTTTGGCTTTGGGCTTGACTTGCTCTTCTTCTAGATGGTGGAGGTGTAACATCAGGTTATTTATTTGTATTCGTTCTGTTTTCCTGATGTGGGTACTCAGTGCAATAAATTTTCCTCTGAGGACAGCTTTCATTGCATCCCACAGATTCCGGTAAGTTGTATTTGTGTTTTCATTTGTTTGTAGGAATTGTTTAATTTCTTTTTTAATTTCTTCTGTGACCCACTGATTACTCAAGAGTGTGTTATTCAGTTTCCATGTGTTTGTGGGATTTTTGCAGTATCTTTTATCATTAATTTCTAATTTCATAGTGCTATGATCTGATAACATGCAGGGATAATTTCAACTCTTTTGCATTTATTTAAATATGTTCTGTGAATTAATATATGGTCTATTTTAGAGAATGATCCATGTACTGCTGAGAAGAATGTGTATTCTGATGCTGCTGGGTCGAATACTCTGTATATATCTATTAATTCCATTTGTTCACACGTATGATTCAGTTCTTTTATTTCTTTGTTGATTTTCTGTCTGGTTGATCTGTCCATTGGTGTCAATGGTGTGTTGAAATCGGAAGGCAATATTGTTTTCACTGTTTTGCTTTGTTCTGATTGTTTTGCTCTCTTCAATATTCTATTTTGATGGAGTTTACAATGTTCTGTTTTTGCTTGATTTTGTTGTACCTATTAGACTGGACAACTATTGTGAAGACAATGAGATGCATTGTGGGCCCTATACTGTTATCCCAGGATCCTCTGTGAAGTTTTGAAGCAATTTCACTGCATTGACTCAATTGGCTATGGTCTGTTTTGTTCTGTTGTATTTTACTACCTTCAAAATAAAATAAAGATAAAAATAAAAAAATACTATCACAGTGAACAATTTCAAATAACCAATTCCATAACAAGCAACCTGTAAAACTTCTAAAAATCCAACCTTTGGCTTTCACAAGCTGGTAATAAGCTGCCACCAGCATATCACTGTCTCCCTATGGCATTGTAGTGAGTCTTGATATCTGGTAATGTAAATTCTCACAGTCTGCTGTTTTTTAAAATTGCTGTGTACTTTAGGGTACTTGCTTCAAATTCACAATCGATATGACCCTATATTTATTTGGGGCTTTTTTCTTCCTCATAGAAATTATTTTAGTTTTCAATACAGTGATGCTGCACAGATTTTATTACTGATATGCGTATAACTGCTATGTGATTTTCTGTGCTGTTATAAATCTTTTATAAATTCCAGACCTTAAAAATAAAGGTGGGAGCCATGGTCTCGGAGGCAGCAGCTGCCATATCCCCTGGGGTGAGGGACGGTGGAGATGGAGCCCAGAGCTAGCCGTGAGGCAGGCACTAACCCTCTCCATTTAACACCACCCAACTGTTGGTGCCAAAATGTGGTTCCAAGGGAAAACAGTTCTCTCTTCAAGATGACGAGCCACTGCTAGAAGGGGAGCTCACCCACATCCCTGGATGTGAGGCAGGAGCTTCAACTGGAGAAAGGAGCAAAGACCAGGAGACCCAGGCTCCCAAATACAGGATGTGGGATTTTTCTGCACAAAAGACAAAATTGCAATGTGTAACACAGTCTTCAGAGGATCTTTCATCCACTTTTGGCACATCCAGTTTTGATGTGCCACATTAAAACTACCACCATTCATACCAACCAGGAATATCTTTTTCATGTATCTCACAGCCTCCAGTGTGTCACACAGTCACCTCATGTTTCCTGTTTAATTAGTCCTTTACATTCTCATTCCCAATTTCCAAGGCTCCTGACTTAGGGGATATGCTGCAATAAACACATTGCTAGCCACTGTCACTTTTACTTCCTCACATTCTGTGACCTGCAGAGTTGTTGATGTTCATGGGGTGAAGGACCATGAGAGGATGAGAAAATAAAGAAAAGATGAAGCCCTTACTTTCGTGATGGGAGGAAAGAAACTGTGCCTTCACTTAGGGGCATTTATACTTTTAGCATCTTCATGTTGTATGACATTCTGTTTTCCTAGCAACTCACTGTTGAGAAGGTCTTGGGGCTAAGTGTTCTCTGGGATGAAGCCGCTTCTTTACATGGATTGCCTTGGGTGCTTCTTGTCCTTGGGATGGCCATGTCCAGCCTTATACACATAGTCAATTTCCTGCTTATATGACTCCCAATGTTCAAATGCTATTCAATACACTACACATTGTTAAACATGCTCACAATATGCTCAATTTCTATGACAAAAAGAAAAGCGGCAATTTCTTACACAATTTATATCTCCTAGTAAGTTTCACTTGGTAGTATATACTACTAACTTTTTAAATCCTACAAAAGATGAAAATACAATGGCAGAAACACAATTCAATCAGGTAAAACAAAACTAAGAAGGATTTTTTGGAAAGATCATCATACTGGAAAGTGGGAGGTACACAGCTCAGTGCTATTCTTGGGTCAAGGCTATGTTTGTGATGTTCCAGACAATGCTGAATGGTCTGTGTCAATAGCAAAGCATGCTGTCTGATTATATCACGGACCCAGACTTAGAGAAGTAGTTGATTCCATCTCTCAAGCAACAGGTGCTCAGTCATATGACAGTGAGGACTGATAGACCACACCACAGCTGATAGACAAGGATGGAGCTAGACCCCACCTGGGGCCCATTAAAGGAATGGACCCAGAATGCGTGGGACATTGTAATCAATACTAGGAATCAAAGATCAGAGGAAGTGACTGAGTGTAAACAGGTAACTGAGCAAAAAGCTACATGAAAGAAAGGGATACCAAACTTATTAGTATTCTTTGGACAAAATAAAAAACATTAATATATGTTATATACAAGAAGTTTTATTCCTTCCAAATTAGTCATGCAAGAGATTGCTGTTAATCAATCTACAAAACAATCTGATGAATCTATTTATTGTTATAACTTCTAAAATTGTAAAAAGTTAGTATAATTTAATTTGGTCAAAAGTATATTTGAATGAACTCTGATTTTGTAAGACATTTGTTTGTCTGGACTGTTAATCTGTGCACATGTTTCTTTGTTCATCATATCTGTGCACAGCTGAAGCAGTAGTCAGGCTTCCTTCACTCTTGGCTGTAGGGTTTGAGTGCCTAGATAGCTAAGCACTATTCTGAGGGAAAAATTCTCTAGAGAACTGTTCCATGGGTTTCCTCTGAAAACAAAGTCTTTATGTTTTACAGTTTTGAGGCTGCAAAGGGTGGGACTTTCTGCTTTCTATCATGCCCTCAGGCCATCTTTTATATTCTGCTGTTTCTTCTCAGCATTCGAGATCTCTACTGTATCTTTGCAGTTCACAGCTCTAGTGGCGCTTCCGTTAGACAAAACTCACAGCATTTTCTATCATTCTGCTGGATTCTTTGTTTCTTATGCTCAACATAAATCTGGCTAAAAGCCCCAGTGTAGCCACACTACCACCTCAAACTTAGACTCCCTTGAAATTTATTCTGCCACATTAATTAGTCATGTCCTCATAGTGTCAGTCTCAGGCAAAGTCTCTGGACATGAGCAAAATGCAGACAGACTTTTTCCCAAGCCATAACACACATGGTCTGGAATCAAACAACCAATGTAATTCTTCCCAGCAGAAACTTTCTGAGCCTAGTCTTTACCAGCAGGATTTCTATCATCCTTCTTGTCTTTGGAGCTTTGCCCAAAATTTCCTTACAGAACAGCTTAACTACAAACACACTCAACCACCTTATCTTTGATAAAGGAGCCAAGCAGGTTCACTGGAAGAACGACAGTCTCTTTAATAAATGGTGCTGGAAAAACTGGCTCTCCATTTGCCGAAAACTAAAGCTAGACCCATGTCTATCACCATGTACTAAATTAAAATCTAAATGGGTCAAAGATCTGAATATTAAAACAGAAACACTAAATCTATTGGAAGACAAATTGGGTAGAAACCTTGGAGACATAGGAGTAGGTAGAGAATTCATGAACAGGACTCAAACCGCACAGGAAATACTTCCCAGAATCAATAACTGGGACCACTTCTTATTAAAAAGTTTCTGCATGTCAAAAGAAATCTCCAGCATAGTGAAAAGAAAACCCACAAACTGGGAAAAGATTTTAGTGAACTCTCTCTCAGACAAGAAACTCTTGTCTAAAACATATAAAGAATTAAAAAAACTCAGACCTCCAAAATTCAAAGATCCAATCCAAAAATGGGCATCTGAGATGAATACGCAATTCTCAGATGAAGAAATGCAAATGGAAAATAAATACATGAAAAAATGCTCATCATCATTGGTCATTAGAGAAATGCAAATTAAAACCACACTGAGATACCATCTCACTCCTGAAAGAATGGCCAGGATCAAGAAAACCAACAACAACAAATGCTGGAGAGGCTGTGGGGAAAAAGGAACTCTCCTGCACTGTTGGTGGGAGTGTAGACTGGTACAGCCTTTGTGGAGGTCTGTCTGGAGATTTCTCAAAAAGTTGGGATTGGAAATCCCATTTATTCCAGCTATTCCACTTCTAGGCATATTCCCAGAAGAACTGAAAGCATCATACCACAGTGATATATGTGCACCTATGTTTATAGCAGCACAATTTGTAATCGCCAGATCTTGGAAACAACCCAAGTGTCCATCAACTGAGGAATGGATAAAAAAGTTGTGGTATTTCTATACAATGGAGTATTATTCAGCTATAAAGAAGGATCACATTGAGATATTTATCAATAAATGGGCGCAGCTTGAGACCATACTCATAAGTGAAATAAATCAATCTCGCATGTATGAATACCAAATAGTTTCCCTAATGTAAGTAATGATTCAAATATATAAAAATATGTGGCAATCATGATTCCCCATTATGTAGCCTTGAAGCCTTATAAAATTTTCACTTATTAATTAGAAAGACTTTATTCTGGGCTTCTTGATATGGAAATATTTGAAGCTATAGTATAGGAAGTTTTATCCAAATATTTCAAGGAAAAAGACAGACACCATGGTAACTACTATTCTTTAAAAAAATTATTTAGTTATTTCTTATGTTTATTTTAATTAAGGGAAAAATTTAAAAAATTAGGATATATAATAGTAACTCTTTTTGATTTCCTATTAACTTGTTTTGAAGTCCTGTAATACTCCCACGATCTTGTTTTGACTGATTAGACTCTGTTCCATTCTGTGCGATAGTATCAAGTTTGAGTGTATAGGCAACTACTTTGAAGGCAATAAGATTCACTAAGATGCCCATTCTGGTTTGACTATTGTCTCCTTTGGAAGTCCTGTAATGTTTACAATGCCTAAGTTTTATTGGTCTTGTTCTCTACTGTTTTGTCCAACTTTATAATATCTAATGAGATAGACAATTCTTTTTAAGGAAACAAGAGACAACGTTGATAACCATTGTTAATAACCTTGTACTCTGTTCTACATCATGTGCTATGTTTATCCTTGGTTTTGACTGACAGCTTTGTTTTGCCATATTTGACTTTATTCTCTCCCCCCCAAAAAGTAATAAGAACTAAGGCGTAATAAAATCCAAAATGTGTAAATTTTGTTGTAAAAAAGAGAGGGAGGAAAAAAAAAGAGCTCTAACGGATATAACAGCAAGTGTGTTTAGCGGTGTTAAATAGCTGACTATATTAATGTTTTTGGATCATTGAACACAGCTGTTTGCAGTCTCTGTTTGAATGTCTACTTTGTATTCTTTGATACTGTGATGTGAGCAACTATTTCCAAGATGATAATATGTAATCTATTAATAGGTGATTTCTTACTGTTATGTTTTTTTTGTAGTTCTGTATTATGTGTAACCTTACACCACTTTGTTTTGTTCTGTGTTTTTCTCTTTTTCCTCTTAAATAAAATTTAAAAAAAAAGATGTTTCAGCTCTTTTTCAAAC